GGGGTATGGGGGGTTCCAAATGTATAGTAGGGATAGTGGGTAGGTCGAGCATGGTTGACCAATTTGAAGCATAGTCTAGCTCCCGCTTGCGTGCTTGTCCTTGTTTTGCGTCTGGGGCTATGAGGGGTTCCAAATGTATAGTAGGGATAGTGGGTAGGTCGGGCATGGCCGACTAACTTGAGGCATAGTCTAGCTCCCGCTTGTGTGCCTGTTCTTGTTCTACGTCTGGCTTGAGTCTAAGCCCAAATTCCATTCCATGCTAACTAGTGGAGTACACATGTCCTTGCGTTAGGCCACCGGTATGCCGAAATAGCGCCAGACTCCATTTAGCTCCGTTTTGCATGTTAGTCCTGACATTAGGATGTTGGTTGCTCTAAGACTGTTCCAAGTCACTCCAGGCTCCTATCCCTTCGCTCCTTGGGTTGTATGCTTAGGAGTTACTCTATGGTATGGTTCCATCACTCTTTGGCTTCATACCTGGGAGTTTGGCACCATTCCTTCGTTCGGTGGTTCAAGGCCTTGAACCTCGAGTTCCACACCACTGTCCTATGGACACATGGCATGTGACATGTGGCACTAACACATGGCACATAGAGGGTTTAAATTCCGCTTCATGGTGTTATCCTATAGTAAATCACCATAGGATAAAGGGTAAAAACCATGTGCGCTACACATTTGTGTCAATGATGCAATTTAATGTTCATTTCTAAAGCCTCTTTTTTTGTGCAGAACTAAATATATCGGAGAGGATCAAGTTGGGAATGTTGTGGCTATAACATTATAGCCATCACTGAGACCTCACAAATAAATAATCATTTTTCAAATACTAATTATTCATACTCAAACTAAAAGAATCACAAAGACTAATAATCACAAGGAATTAAGTCTATCCTTAGTTTGTCATTTGTCACATGCAAGCACCTATCATATAACTCTTGTTAGGCTCTCATCTATTATCCAAGCTTGAACTATACTTGAACTTGATTAGTTAACAGAACTTGAGCCTAAATCTCTAACACCAACCTGGAGAGTGATCCTAAATGTTTTAGTAAAAGAAATAGGGTATTTTAAAGATCTGAAAATTTAAATGTTTTTTCTTTAATTTGATGAACATGTACTTATATTTGAACCCATCCTTCAAATTTAACGTGACCACCACTTTCCACGACTCCTTGGGCAATGTTAAATCCTATGTCAGTCATCCACTTACGGTATGGCTAAGCACTCAAGCTTCTAAAAGATTTCGCACAAGAAAAAGACAACTTATTTTGTGTCTATAATAGCTAGTTTCAAATCTCCTTTTTATCTCTTTGCAATTTGAACTTTTTACATCATTGGTTTTAGAGTAATGTCAATATTGTTTGTCACTTTCTAACATGGGACAAGAACTATGTAGAACTTCTTAGAGTTTATAACAGCTAAAGGTTTTCTTAAAAGCAAACAATATAAAAAACCTTTTTAACACTAATAAAGATTAAAGGCAGTTTATTTATAAACTATAGACAAACTTTAACAATAATTTACTTTATAACGCAAGCTGTCATATTCAAGCCAAGCTCTAACAACGAACTGTGTAGGTTGTGAAAATTTATAAGGTTCATCAGTTTCAGGAGGTGCAATTTCTACCCACTCAACAAACCAAGGTGCCTCACCTCCCCAATTATCATGAGACAATTCCATTTTGCAAATATGATCATATTCACCCAGGCAAGGAGCTGATAATCCCCCAAAAACATCAGTATGACATCTTTCAAAATCATTATAGTTTTTATGGTCTAAATTGCGAAACATTAATGTTTGTCCCTGTGAAGTAAAAAATACAGCATTCACATTTGCATCTGTTCCAGCATGGTCAACACATCCAGTCTTGATGGTCACTGTATATTGGCACTGAAAAACTCAAAACAAATCAGTATACTAGAAATAAATCAACCTGTTACCTGAGCATTAGCATCATATAACAGAAAAATGAGAAGAAAGAAGAGAGGAGGAAGAACAAAAGACCACAAATCTCTCCCCATTTACTAAGAGATATTTAGCTTGTCTAATCTTGCCCTTTAAAAAGCAGGAATTTTTTTGTCATGACATGCTAAAAGTTTACATATATACTTTGAATTATCCATTCATTTCCAATGATAGTAGCAAGTCCACCAAGTTTTGCCCAGTCCAGCAAATGGTTAGATTTACAGTGCCAAATCTCTCTCCTGCAATATTATGTCTAGATTGCCTATAGAGATGGCAAGTACTTTAGATGTTAAACACTTCCAGTTTTATTTTCAAATTAAGAAAAAAGTATGAGTAAGATTTAGAAATATTGATATTATTATACTATATGAGGTCCAATCCATGCACTTATAACCCACCTCCACTATAAACATGCATGTACTCCAACCAGTTCCAGCGTGCCTCATTGTCCAGCTTGTTGTTCTCCGGGTTATCCCCCAGAAATAGAGGATGAAGAGCAAAAGCAACTCCATAAATGATGTTGTGCATTTGATACCACCTTGCCTCCTTCAGACCGGCAATGACACAAGGAGCCCAGGTTGCAACACCATCAATGCACCATGCTCTGCCCATCAATGCAAACATCAGGATGTCCATGACCCATCTTTGCGTGCATCCAGCAAACACTTATTAGTTAGCAGAAGATTCATGCATACAGTTAACCTTAACCAGATTCTATTTTTTGGAGGACGATTCGTGTGCTGCATCTTTCTCGACGTATTCGAAGCTCCCATCAGCCTTCCTTACCTTTTCCATGTACTTCGTGGAAGACTCTCAGGCAGCAATCTAAGGCTAGTTCAGTACAATAACAAAGGAAAGAAGTCTTCCTTACTTGCTCACTCCCTGGCATGATGGATTTGATCCCTGTAAAAACGGCAGACATATGGGGCCTGTCTTGCAGTTCGTACTTGTCACCACAGGGCTCCGCTTGGTACGCATCCTTGGTCAGCCGCACAGGCTAAATCATCCTTGTGACTGCTCACTTCATCCACGGTTTGATCTGCTGCTCGAAATCAAACTTGTCATTGGCAGGCATTTTGTGGGTGATCACTCGGATCAGCAGCTGCTGGAAGATGAAAACATCCTGGTCTGCAAAGCAAGGGCTTGCACGAAGAAGCTTGCATGCTTGTTCTGTTGGGGACAATGAGGAAACTGGAGCCCGGGGAGATGGCTCACCGGCAGGTACCCTCGTTCCTGATGGGGCAGATGTCGCACATCCCGTATCTGCGTCACCTAATGCATAGAGAGCCCATCTATGATGACCATCTGTTAGGGTGTGGCCACTGAGAGAGTGAGAGAGAGAGAGGGAATATTTTGGTCCTCAAAATATTCTCTATCTTCCTTGTATAAAACCCTTGTCCCAAAAGGGTAGGGGGCATTTTCCCAAAGAGTATTGAAGCATTTGAGTGAGCATTGGGGGAGGTGCCCCTCCATCCCCTAACACGTCAAGGTGGGCTTTTTTGACGGACACCAAAGCTTCGAGGTTTACAGAATAACTCGTAGCTTGGCAAGCCGCACAGCTGCCGCCACAAAGCCAGTAAATTAGAGCCTACTTGCTGTTGCCTTTCCTCGCTTGCGCTTCGCTGCATGCTGCTCAACAAACAACCTTTAACCTCGTCCTTTATATGACATCTACTCCATTTCTTAAGAATATTTATGATGCTTGGCAGCATGGCACCAAGCTTTCCCACAAAACTATGTCCAGCTCCTCAGCACCACCCTTAGAGACAGCGAACAATTTTTGGGAGTGTGCTTCTCCATCCAGCAGAAGCTCGACAGTGCCAAGAACCTGGCCAGGCTGCAAGTGGACGTGAATCACGATGCAGGATTCCTTGAGACATCGCCTCAGGAGTCGTGGGCAGTGGAGCTCTTCGTGGTCGAGACTAAGAAGGCCAGTGAAGTGGAGGTGATTTGCAGACTTGTGCGTTGTGTCAAATCCAACATTGATGCTGCTTGGAGAGCCATCTGACAAGCCATGAATGGGGACATCCATATAAAACATAAGCTCAACAAAACACCCTTGCAAGTTCTCACTACCACTGTGCCAAATCTTTGGGCTGCCATGACATTCAAATGCTCTTTGGATCACATCGAATTGCAATCCTTTCCTCTTCTCAGCATTTTTGGGAAGCAAGCAAGACCTGCACTTTGTTTGTATCAAGCTCCATGAGCTCCAATTCCTCTCGCATGGAGAAGCGCAAACAACCTGGCTTAAAATCCGGAGAGCCATGCGACGTAGATCAAGCATCTCTAAACCAAAAGAACTCCACCAGGTTACTGAAAACTTTCTGGTCTCCCGATCCTTGGCAACAGGTAACCTCATTTGCTGTCCAAGCAGTTGCCAAACCTCTCAAACTGTGCCTGCAATCTCAACTGCAAGTCCAGATCGGAGAAGTTCACGGACAGTCTAGTGGCGTCATTATGGTTGCGTTCCCAGTGCCCAAGGCTTTCCAGCATCGGTGTTTCAAAGCTCGGCCAGTGAAGACTTCGTGCAGCTTCCAAGCGTGGCCGAGTCTCCGACTGTGGTTGTGTGGATACCACCAAAGTCTGTCACACACTACTGGTTGTATTCTGATTCCGTGTCACTATTATCATGAAATAAATCAGCCAATTTTTTCCATGGTTGGTTAACTACTTTGTTTGATGAATCAGCTAACCTAGCTAGAGGAGATGGGAATGAGATTGAGAATGAGAACAAGGAGCTGTTCCTATGGATTTCCCTTGCTTGGTCTGACACTTTGTGCTATCTCACTATTGACAATCAGGTATAAAGCATCAAAAGAAAGACCAATCCTTGTTAAACTTGGAGAGCCTGTTGGAAACTTCACAGCTATGGTGATATTTATCTTTTGGATATACACACTTCTCTAATTCTTGTTCTTCCAGACAAACAGTGATCTCCAGGAATTTCAGAAAGTTCTTGAAGTTGCGGCTCTTGATGACCAGAAGACCGTTTTGATAGGGCTGCTCAACAAGGCGTGGTGTGATCCAGGAGGAATGTTCGATACGTTCTTGGAGAGCTTTGATCTGGGAGAAGGAATAAGCTATTTGCTCAAGCATATGGTGATTGTGGCTGTGGATAGCTTTGCATACGAGAAATGCATCCACGCTGGGAAGGTCCATTGCTTCCAGTTTAGATTCAAGCCCGGTGTAAATTTCTCCGCGGAGCAAGTCTCCATGGCTCCAGATTACCTCAAATTGGTAAATCTCAAGACTTACCTTCTCGGCCTCGTCTTACAGTACGATTTCAACTTCATTTTCACTGTAAGTTGCGTGAATTTTTTTCCTTAGACATGGTATCTATCAGGTCCCAATTCTGGACAGGATATCGACATTGTTTGGTTCCGGCCTCCATTTCGTCACTTCTCCAAGCACGCAGATTTTGAGTCGGCTTGCGAAGTCTTCAACAACGACTCGTCAGACATCGCAAACTTGCAAAACACCGGGTTCCTTCACGTTGTCGCAAGCAATCGCACCAGGAGGCTGTTTGATCTGTGGCTGCAAATGCACCGGTTCCATCCTGGGCTTCACGATCAAGACGTATTTTACGAGCTCAAGAAGACCCAGCAGTTCAAAGACCTTGATCTCAGCCTCAACTTCATGCCTACCGTCTATTTCGGTGGCTTCTGCACGGTGAGCTCGGATCTAGAAAAGGTTTGCACCAACCATGCAACTTGCTGCGTCGGACTTACAAAAAAGTTGGCGGGACAGAAGCAGGTACTTGAAGACTGGAAGCTGTTCAAGTCGATGACACCTCACGAGAGCAGATTGCAAGGCGTGGGATTCAAGCGTCCCAGCAACTGTCATTAGTCAGATCTTGATGTGAAGTATCATCTTTTTCAATTATACAGAAAACAATATATGTTATTTTGTGAGCCGAACTTTGTGAACAGCTTCCCCGTAAATGTTGTAGTAAACAATCTGTAACCACGACTTTGCGACTGAGAAGGACACAAATCCTTGCCCGTCGTAATAGAACTGCAAGCCATTCGAGTTTTGTGGTGGCGAAATTCCTTTCCAGGCCTTGGAGCCTCCACCGCTGGTTATAAAATGGATTGGACTGTGCAAAATCAAAACCATAGAAAGAGTTAGAGCGGAATTGTCAGGATGGATGAATCAACTACAAAGACAATCAAATCAAACTTAAGGATACCTGTCATCTCTCTTGACGTGTTCAAGGCAGTGGTCGTGCCCATTGACGTAAACGTCCACGTTGTTTCCCTGTTTCAGCGCAGCAATGGGTTAGAACTGATCACAGGCACACGCGGCTTCGTTTTAAAGATTATTGCAGAACATGACAAGGTAAAACAAGTCAAGGGAAGAATCTAAATGCACTGTATGATTTGCGACACAAGGCTTAGAAATATATTATTTACCTCGAGAATGGGAAGGAGTTGCCTCACTAGCTCAACGCTATCCCCGTGGGCTCCATAGCTTCTTATAGTGTGGTGGCCAACCACAATCTTCCAAGACGCGGTGGAAGCATTCAAAGCACTTGTCAAATTCTGGAAGAACCAATGTGAAATATTGATAGTATTGATTGATATGGAGCGTATATACCTCGAGCTTTTGCTGCAAATGGCGATGGCGAGGAAGGATATCCCTCCAGTCAAAGTCGTGCTTCTGGTTTGGCGCCCAATACTGGTCAATGAATGGAACTGTGTCAATGAAGAAGAGCTCTACTGTAGAAACGCGCGAGTCTACATCTCCTGTAGAAGAGTAAACGCGGCGGTTAGAAAGTTCTAGATTTGGAGGCACGCAAAGGTGCGAAAAATCTAGCAAGCTTTCAAAGCACGAAAACTAAAGAAACCATGTAAAACCATGGTTACCATGTATGGCTATGGCGAAACAAACCTCGGAAAAGAGATGGGCTCATATCAAAGATAAGTTGTGCGTCTCTCACGCAGTGCCATCTCCAATCGCGTAAACCAAGCCGTGGATCTAGCTGCGAGAACACGTCTCCGTGGTAGTCATGGTTGCCCAAGACTGCCAGCACAAGGAAAAGAGATAATTAGATCGATAGTCTTGATCAAAGATTTGTATATCATACCTGCGTGCCATGGTTTCTGGAGCGCTGGAGCAGTATAGATTCGAGAGAAGGATTCATCAAATGCGATGTCATCCACTCCAGTCAGTCCATTCTTATAGAAATTATCTCCCACCGAGACCACGAAGTTTATCTCGAGCGCATCGCCGATCTTTCCCATCTGGAAGAGCAATGCACACGAAAACTTGAGAAAAGGAGAGAAGAGTCACAAAGAACACCGACCTGGGAAGCAACCAAGCTCTGGTTATACAATCCATGTCGTCCCCAATCGCCCAGCGCCAGGAAATTCACAGGAGCTCGTCGATCCACCGGCGAGACGATGGGATCCTCTGTTATCTCCACCCATCGAGCGGCGTCGAATTGGAAGAACCCACCAAGAGCGAGGAACCACACGGTGGCGAGGACGGCAAAAATCCCAAGAGCACACCCAGTAGCAGCGAGCTTGACCCGAGATTTGAGCTATAACAAAGTGGAGCGAAAGAAAAGGGATGAGATCGAAGCGAGAAAGATAGATCTCTTCCAACCTCACCTTGCTCGAGGCGGTTCTTCCCAGGAGCGCCACTTCCTCGTCGCGATCCATTCTGGAATTCTAACGCTCGAGCTCATTCAATTCGTGATCAAAGCGAGGATTTCTTCGACACCACTCCTTAAATTCCAGGCGTGCACGGTGGAGACTATTCTCTCCAGGCGCATTGCGTGGAGGTGGGAGAGGTCTCATCTCCATCGCTCTAGAGCTCTACTTTAGCGTGCCAAGGACAACCAAGCCACGACGAATCTGGGCCGTCCAGCTGGCGTGTAAGGGCCGAGAATGTGAGCATATCCCTCGTAGAATATGTGACAAGGATAAGATGCCGGTAAAAATTCCAAAAGATCCCCACTACGTCGTGATCATGCTTGGCGCATTTGCTTGTACGCACGATGTGATCTCCAACAAAAAAGCTCTCTTTTTTTTTTTAATCAGAAAAAAATTCCAATCCCAGATTCCCGGACCGATTGCTGGAGTTGATCCATGATGCTTGAGCCGGACGTCGAGCAGCTTGATCTGGGAGGAGCTGCGAACGAAACCATACTGTTACACTGCTCGATCGCTGCTTGTCTCGCGATTTTGACGAGAAGATTGTCTTCTCCGTCGTCGCCCAAGACTGCTGGAGCAGTGGAGCTGCTGGGATTGTCTTGTCCTGGATCCGGAGAGCTGATGATCTTGGTTGTTTCATCCTCTCTCCCATTTTCCTGGAATGTCGCTGCCTGCCTCGCTAAGAAACTATCCTCTCTGGGTGGCGACGCGCTATAGCGATTGTTCTTCCACCACTCTCCAGGAGAAGGATCGTAGCTCGCCTCGTCCTTCCGATCAATGTGCTCCAGCGCTGCCTGCCTCGCGGCTCGGGAGAGGAAGTTGTCCTCGTCCATCGGCGTCGCGGAGTAATCCTCCCAGTCCGGATCATAGTAGTCGGGACTGCTGCTCGAGTTCTTGGCTTGTTCTTCGACCATTTCCTCGTCGCCACCATCACCACCACCGAGCTTTTGCTTCTTCTCCTCCAGCTTCTGCTGCTTCTCCTCCAGCTTTTGCTTCTTCTCGATCTCCAACCGCTGTATGATCTTCTCGCGCTCCTCCTTGCTGACCGGCGCGTGAGAGAACTTACACTTCTCGCCATCCTTGCAAAAGCCCAGGGAGATGAAGAACTTGCACGGGAACTTGGCCGTGTCGTGAGAGAATGGGCATTCGTCACCCTTGAGGCAGCAGCGCGTGAGGAAGTACTTGCAGAGGTAGAGCTTCGTGTCGGGGACTTCCTCGTGAGAGAACGTACAGCTCTTGCCTTTGGAGCACCGCCCCTTCATGAAGTATCTGCACAACACCGGCGGCTTTGGAGGCCTCTCGACTTGCGTGTAGACTGGCCGCCGCCTCGCCACCCCCATTGCTCGTTCCTTCTCGGCACGCTTGATCTTCCCTCGGGCTTTCTTCCTTTTCTTGCCTTCGTCGGAAAGACCTCTCTTTTTCTTCTTCTTTTCCTGTTCCTGCTCTTCTAGATCATTCTTTTTCCTCTTTTTGTTGTGTGCTTCTTCTTCCACTTTTGCTAGCAAAGCTTCCTTTCGATCCATGAGCTCCATCTCTTCTACAGACTTTTGCCGATCCAGATGCTCTGCAGTGAAAGAATGATAGCCTGCCTTCGCGATGATACCTAGTGGCTGTTCTGGCGGAAGGATTGTCTTCTCGGCCGCTGCTTCTAGCACTACCACAGTACCTGGCTCGTCGCGAGTGTCTCCAACGTCGCACGGCAGCTCTCCTTCTTCGAGATCGCCGGAATTTTCCTTCTTGTGCTCTTCCTCGATCTTTGGAGAGGCATCGACGACGGCGCCCAGATCTTCCTTTAGCCTGCTACTCAGGGATCGAAACCCGGAGAAGCGCTTGCTCGATGTACTCATCGGGATTGCGATCAATGGCGGTGGCGCCCATGGAGGCTCTTCCATCCCTCCAAAAACCCTAGCAATCTTTAAACTTTTCTTAGGGTTCTTGGCAATTTAAGCCCTGCTAGATTTTGGCTATGGCTGTCTCGTGTGGATTCTTCCCTGGAAACGTGCTGTGGTGCGCGTTTGGAGCTTCGAGTGGCCTCAGATCTAGAATGCGGCCGCCAATGCTGTCGCGCTCGATTCAGTGCTGCGCAGAAGCGGCAATCGATGGTGAGTGTGAAGAAATATTTTGCCACTTCTCTTCTTACCAGAGCTTCTTGAGCTTCCAGAGGCAGCTGCTGTGGAACTCCCGTGCCTTCCTTTCAAGGCCGCGGAGGTATGCTCTCTAAGTGAGTCCCAATCGAGAACTCACGATTTTCTTTCCAGGTTTTGGTTCCTTCGTCTACAAAGACTTTGCATTTGTACGAGGCGAGATTTCTAGCGCTTCTGGAAGACGTAAAATGGTTCTCTTCTCGCGATTGTTTCGTTCACTGTTCTATTTCCTTGCAGGCTTTGCGGAAGTGCCACAATCTTTTCGTCCATGTTGTGATTGAGAGAACTGGACGATCAGCGAACGAGTATGCTTTTAGATATGGTTGCTTGAGCCACATCCTGCACGTAAGTTGTCGACACTGTAGCTACTAAGTCTTTCATCGTTTGAACACACAGGTGAAGCGCTTGGAAGTTGGAGCTCTAGTCACGATACGGGGAATTGGACGAGTGAGGCTGATCTCTTTGTCCCAGGTAGAGTTTTCGACTGTGATCCTCATTCGACCGATTGGTCTATTTTCCAGCTTGCAGATGGAACCATTTCTCAAGGGTGTCGTCGTTCCCGTGAAAGATGAGACGCCGAAGGACGCAGACCGGATACAATCCTCGGTTGAGAGCTTGAAGAAAACATTGTCTGACGTCCAGCAGCTCCAAATCAAGCTCAAGGTAAGCTGTGCTCTTCTTCTCTGTGCTTTTGAGTCTAGAGGCATTTCTTTTGCAGACTTCCAAAGATGAGCTCTTGCAAACTCCGTTGCAAAGAGCACTGGAGTGGGCTGAGAGGGCCAACTTCGGTGAGAACCTCAGCTATTTCGTTCCAAATCGTGAAGAACGGCTATCTTTCGCAGCTTTGCAACCAATTAGTGGTATAGTAGCCTGGTCTTGCACGGGTTCTAACTTTGTGGATCTCTTCAGGTGCAAATGCTGGCGAGTTGAGGCAGCTGCTGGAACAGAGGCTCGTCGCCATGGATTCCACGGATACGCTTGAAAGATTAACCTCGTCCATGGAGTATGCGCAGCACAGCCGATCATCCGTCGCAGCAAAGGTAGCAATCCAGTCCTTGCAACTCTAGGCACCCTTTAGAGCCATGTAGTTAGTGTCTTCGTAGAGTGAATTCAAATCACCTTCCAAGTGTTGTTTCCTGCACGAAGCAGCAAAGCTCATTCGTCCCAGCGCAGTAGGCTCGAATGGCATGCTCTCCATCAACTCCAGAGCCTCCTCCAGCCTTCCAGATCGACCGAGAAGATCGACCAGGCAGTCATAGTGCTCTCGGCAGACAGGAAATCCAGGTACTTCTGCGGTCACGAACACGAACAAGCGTCTTCCGAAGTCCAACAGACCTCCATGGCTGCACGAAGTGAGAACGTTCACTAGAGTGACCGAGCTTGGATCCAAGCCTTCGAGCAACATACACTGGAAGAGTTGAGCCGATCTCTCGCCGAGCCCGTTCCAAGCGTATCCAGACACTATGGTGCTCCAAGTTATCAAGTCTCTTCTCCGCATGCTTTGGAACACACCAAGTGCTTCCTCGACTGCTCCACACCTACTGTAGAAGTTGATCAGTGCGTTACAGATGACAAGGATTCCCGGAAAGTACCCGAGCTGGAGTATCCTTTCGTGGATCGCCCGTCCATCTCCGAGAGCCGCGGCTTCGGCACACGAATCTATCATGGTGGCGTAAGTCACGTAAGTTGGTCTGGTTCCTTCTAGCTGCATTCTTCTAAACAGCACGAAACTTTCCTTCGTTCCAGCTGCAGCGAAGATCATAGCGTTCCAGGAAACGATGTCGTGGAAAGGCATGCTCTCGAACCAGTCCCGAGCAGAGCTATTGTCACCACTTCGAGAAATGGCCACCAGCATCGCCGTGGAGCAAGCCAGTGTGTGAAGAGGCATCCGGCGGAAAAATTCTCTGGTACTCGTGACATCACCTCTTCGGCCGTAACTCGTGATCAAAGTGTTCCAGGAAACCGCGTCCCTTCGTAGATTGGTGTGAAAGATCTTCGCGGTGGAGGGCAAGTCGTCAGCTTCCGAGTAAAGACGAGCCATGGCATTGCACGAAAAGCCATCCCACTGCGGCATTCTGGAGAAGATACGCTCGGCAGGCTCTAAAGTTTGGAGGTGGTCACTGTTCTTGGAGAAGGCCGCTAGAACCGACGTCCAGGATGCGATGTTCCTCTCGGGCATGGAATCGAGTAGCTCCATCGCTTGGACACCGTCTGCAGTGGCACCGAGCCTCAGATTGAAAGAGACCAAGTTCCTCTCGGGCATCTTCTCGAAGATGGTCGCCACGGTTTCTTCGCGGCCCCCGGCTCTGGCGAAGGCTTGCATGGCCGAGTTGAGAGACACGATGCTACGCTCGGACATCGCCAAGAACAAGCTCCACGAACTCTGGAAGTGCCCGTGCTGGGCATAAGCGCTCACCATCTCCGTCCACGAGACGATACATCGCTGTGGAAGTTTTTCGAAGAGCTCTTCCAGATCTTCTAGCTGTTGCTGCTCTCCATCGCCAGTAGCGAGCATGGAGTTCCAGGAGAGAAGGTTTCTCCGCGGCATTGTATCAAACGTGTTCTTCGCGTCAATGTAGTAGCCATTCGAGGCAAGGCCTGCGAGAAGAGTGTTCCACGACACAAGATCTCTCTCGGGCATTCGCTGGAAGAGATCTCTGGCCTCTGGAATAGCGCAGGATCGAGCATAAGCAGCGAGTACGATATTGTGGCTCACCGTGTCAAATTCGGGGAGGATCTCCAGCATCGTCCTCGCGAAATCCAGATGCCCTCGCTGCGCAAATGCCGAGAGAAGGATGTTCCAGGAGAAGACATTGCGCGAGGAAATCCTGGAGAACGCATCGACTGCCTCGTCCAGGCTCCCGCAATCTCCATACATCCTCACGAGCGAATTCTCCAGTACCGTTGAGCGGTAGCCAGCGCCGAGAATCTGGCTGTGGAGCTGCCTGCCACGAGCTAGATCGCGTGAAATCCCACATTCCCGGAGCAGCACGGCGATCGTCGAGGATCCATTGCTCATCAATCATCCTTTCCAAGAGCCCTAAAATCAAGAACCCTAATTTCTCCCTCGCGATGGAAGGCCAGTTCTTTGGAGGCGCGGGGATGCAGCAGCAGCAGCAATTCGTGGCACCGCCGCAGCAATCCCCAGTCGCAGCGCAGCAGCCGTTTGGATCGCTTCCAGCGCCACCGCATTTCCAATACGGGTACGTCTCGCAGCAGCCGTTTCCTCCCTACATTGCCACCGCCGCGGCGGCGCCTCCTCCTCCGCCGCCTCCTCCTCCTCCGATCGCTCACAACAGCTTCTTCAATCCCTGGGAGATGCCGCCAACGCCCGTTCCTCCACCGCAGGACTCCGAGCTCCACAAGCGCATCGACAAGCTTGTGGAGTTCTATGTCAAGAACGGTCCCGGCTTTGAGGCACTGATGAAAGAGAAGCAAAAGGAGAATCCAGACTACGCGTTCTTGTTTGGAGCCGATGGCCATAGCTACTACCAGTACAAGCTCTGGATCACGATCAACCCCCACCTCGTGGCTTTCAATCCAGCTCTCAACATGGTGAACCAGGCTATAGGAGTTTCTGCTGGGATCACTCCACCGCCTCCGCCACCTCCGCCACCACCATCGGCGGCGGCGGCTGCGAGTTCCTTCCCAGCGTTTTTTGATCTGGCCGCCGCCGCTGCTGCCGCTTCTGCTCCGCCGGTCATGCATCACCCCCAGCAGCAGTTTTTCGATCCAGCATTGGCTACTGCTGCTACGCAGATCATCAGCTCGGAGATGGTGGCGGAGTTGCATGGTTTGCTGGATAACTTGTCCGGGACTAAAGAGGCTATCAAGAACGCTAGGAACTGGTTTGTGCAAAGGTCGACTTTTGCTCCCACGCTGGTGGAAGTTCTTCGAGATAGAGTGACTAAATCCGATGGTAACGTTGACAGCCAGATGAACATCTTGTACCTTGTCAACGACATTCTCTTCAGCAGGTACAAAGCTCTCTTTTTTTTTCTTTCCCTTTCTTCTTTTGGTTGATAATCGCGATTCTTTTCTCACAGCTTGCAGTCTCGACTCAACACCAAAGAGCTCGACGGCGTAGCACTGGCTTTTCGTCCTGTTTTAAGCTCCATCCTGGTGGCAATCTACCAAAATCCTCGGGTGAATGACGCCGAACGCGAACAGGTGGAGAAGATGCTACAGTTTTGGCGTACCAAGGAGGTTTACGATCCAGATACTGTTTATTCTCTCGACAAAGAGATGAGATTTGACTCAAGTAAGTTTGCTGGTTTTTCGTTTTCGTGGAGCTAAAATGTATCTTCGATACTTGCAGCAGCTGGTGGACGATACGGAGAGAAAACATTGCCGCCGCCAGAACCAGAGAGGGATGAGGATCATCAGCTACAGTCGAGTGCTGCCAGCTTTCCAGCTCCTCCACAAAGCCCTTCAGTTGCTTCGCTCTTTCCAGCCTTGGCTCCGTTTCTTGCTGCACAAGCTCCAAGTACACAGACGCAACAGCCAGCAGGCCGGGCAGAGCAAGCTCCGTATCCGTTTTTTCCACCGGGACTAATTCCAGGCATGGTCCGAAAGATGCAAATCGGAAGCGGCGTTCCATACTCCCCTCTCAGCCCGCTGGACATCCCGACAATCATACCGTCATCCGCGACGTCGGAGTCACACATCATGGACCGAGTTTCGAAGTTTTTCAAGGAGATCGGAGAGCCTGATCCTCTAGCCGGGAAGTATAAGCCGTCCGGGGACTCGGACGACGAGGGAGGAGGCAGCGGTGGTGCTCGAATTCCTCCACCGCCTCAGATGCAACAAGTCGATCCACAGACTGGAACTTTGCCGGATGGAAGTCTGGAACACAGACCGGGAATGACATCCACCGGAAGGTTGGGACTCGGGGCAGCCGCGGATCCAAACGAGGCCACGCAGTATGATGATGTCTACACGTCGTACAGGAAGCAGCGGAGCACAAACTACCATACCTCTCTGAGTGCGAGAGCAGCGGCAGCACGATAAAGATATTTGCAAGCTCTCACCGGTATGTGGCTTGCTTGTACTTTATCGTTCTTTTTTTTTCCTTCTTTCGTTTGTTTGCCTCTTTCTGGTTTCATTCTCTGGCTTTTCACAATGAGCGTCTAATGAGTGAACTGTACAGAGCTCTTGCGTGCTTTAGGTGTTGCGAGTGATCATGCCACCACGTTGACGGGTATGTTAGCCATAACCATGAGTTTTGTATCTTGTTTTAGTCTTATCATGAATCAGATATCTTGCGTGATATGGCTTTATCGATTGCTGTGAGCCTAGCGTGGTTTGGTTTACAGGAGACAATGCTATCTTGGAGCTAGCGTTTGTATTGCTCCTCTGTCCCGCAGAGAGATTTATCGGTGGCAATCGACACTCGCAAGCCAAAAAAAGGTGAAAATACATTAACTGGGACTTAAGCTTAACATCTACTTAGCAGAGCCTCTTGCTTTTTTCTTTGCTAATCAAGGAATATCCGCTTTTGTACAGGAGCTACAGAATCGGCGCCGGCGAAAACAAAACAAGAAAAAGGGGGGAAAGCTCAAGAAAATTCTGGAGAGCTAGCACCTTAGCAGCAGCAGCTCTTGTGGTGGCGGAGCTTCCGAATGCTCTGCCAAGTGGTACCCGGGCCTTCCAAGTGTGAACTCCAGGCTGGGGACCTTGGGAATCATGTGGCTCATGCGAGAGGACATGAGCTGGGAAAGCGTCGTTGCACTAAACTGTCGCTGCTGGAGGCCGTCCTCAATCTTCATCGCACCCTGAGAAAGAGAAAAGTGAAGCCGTCATCAAAAAGATGTCAAGCCCGAAGAGACAGCAACAACGTACATGAGACGTCTGCTTCATATGTTGCTGCCACAGACCATCGCTGAAGCTCGGCCGCGGTACGACTTCCTGCGATCTGTGAGCAGCAAAGCGGCATCAGTATGTTTCTCGGTCACTTGCGAGCTCAAAAGACCGCTTTTTACCTTGGACATCGACTTTGAAGAGCCGGCTCGTCACTGTATCTGGGTTGGACAGCCTCCGGCTTCCACTGCATGAGCTTGGGATCATCCATCTTTCTCATCTCCGCAGACGACACATGATCTGAGAGACATGGAAAGACACAGTGAGACAGACTGCAGCAAACAATCTGGAGGCTTCTACATATTTTCTTTCGAGGGCTTCGCTTCTTCTCTTTCTGGAGGATTGGCGGACTACTCACCCGTGGAAGCTGATTTATCAGTGGTCTTCACCGTGCGGTACATCTGCATTCCGGGATTTCGTAAACTAATCAGCATATGGCTTTTCACTGTAGGACAGTAATGCTTCACATGGGGCAGGATATGCAGTGGGATAGTCTCAGCAAGACAAGAAATGATAGCTACTACGTGACATGAAATCGAGACGACAGTCGGTGTTCTTGGATGGAGCTGTCAAACAAATTCAAGAGCTCGGGAGGAGGAACGAGCCAAGAAAATCCCAAGTTCGGAGTTTCTACATGGATTTCGAGGTGGAAATTTCAACTGGTGGCTGTGATGATCCAACCACGCACAGTGCCGTGAGGAAAGGGGGAGCGACTCACCTGTAGATGGCTCTTGACGTGTGCCAAGGTGAGATCTTTGACGTTCATAAGCTCCAAGACTGATTTGGGAGTTGCTCCTGCAGGATAGACAAACAAAACATGAGCCTTTTATCATCACCCAGGCAGTGAATGACTAGACTCCAGAATTGAGACCAGGAAACTCAGACAAAAAACAAAAGTGACCGGCAATCGATCGAAACTGAAAACTTACTCTCATGTCCCCCGAGAAGCTCCACCGCGTGAACGAAATGCGCATGGAGGGTGCTCGTCCATCGCATCCGGGGAGCTCGGACATTCCTTTTGACTGGAAACTTGGAGATATATCTGGATCGGAGGCTGGAAGTCGCTGCATTGCCAGCCATCAAAGGGGTCGGGACGCTGCTACCGCAAGAGGAAGAGCTTGCATCAAACAAGGCACTCAAGCTGCCATCTCTCGTCGTCGTCGTCGTCGCCGGCGGCGGCGCCACCGCACCATTGCTCATCCTGACGCTGGAGAAGCCGCTCTGATACAAGTTCATCATTGCCGGGGACGAGTATCTTTGGAGCACTTGCTGCAGCTGCTGCTGCCGATGGTGGTGGCTTGTTGAACAAGACGAAGAAAACTGGACAAAGCTCGCCTTGTGCTGCTCGGCCTTGGAGTCCGTCGAGTCGAGGCGGCTGGAAAACGAGCGATCTTCTCCGAAAAGCGGCACCTTGGAAGGCTTCCTTTCGGTGTCATCAGCCCCTACTGATCTATTCTTGTCAGCTCCTCCCAAGGCGTCGAAGTAGCGACTTCCCAACGATAGCTGGATGGAAGTCTCTCCCCCGGAAGAATTGCTGGAGGAGTTGTCACTGGCGAGGCTGCTGCTAGCTGCACTGTTGATGCTGCTCCTCGGTGGACTACTCTTGCTGAGCTCTACAGTTCCGGAGGAGGAAGACAAAGGTCTGGTGGTGGTCCAGAGCTGGTGGTCCGTGAGGCCACTGGAAGCCGCTGGGCTCGGTGCTGCTTTGCTTGTGGAACACGGCGGACTGATCTGCAAAGACAAGTCAGGGAGCAAGAGCGTTGGTGTTGCTGCCGCATTGGAAATCTCCATGGCAACGAGTATGAATGGTGTTGCTTCTCTGGACGTGGAAGCAGTGAACTAGAATTCGCAGGATCTAGACGACCGACGTCGCTGGTGGTGATTGAGCCGCGAGAAGAGCATCAACAGTAGTGGTGGTGATCCATACACAAGATCGAGAAGCTGAGAAGAATGGTGGACGAGTCAGCAATGGGGGAAGTAAGTTGTCTCTATACGGATCATCTAGAAATGACGGCAGGCTTGTTATGTTCTACACAGGAGTTTGTGCGCCCTGGTACACCTGGACACCCGCTCCAAGAACTCGGCCTGGTCAATAAGTTGCCTTGTGACACACGATCTCGGGGAAACCAGCTATCTAGCTAGGCTTTCTGCGCTGGGTGATGATGATGATCTTATCAAAGCTCTCCCGGAGACAATAGAGGTAAGTAACACAGGCGCATTTCCTTTCGGTCCTTCCTCCTTCACAGGAAGACGTTTTCCTTCTCTCCTTTCCTCGCCAGGCTCTCTCACTCACTTCCCTCGCTCGCTTTCGCTTTTGCAGTAGATCGCGGGCCGCGCGCTCAGGAGAAACAACGAGAAAACAAGGCAAAGAACTGGAAGAACAGCAACATATGCACGAGTGTATATATATCAAAGCGGAGTCGATCTCCTCCGTCAGGCAAGCGGATATTCCGTGTGGCGAGCACCCGTGTGAAATCACCCAGCGTGAAATTCCCTCGCCGCGGCACTGTAACCCCTTTAAGCGCGAGGCTTAAAACATGCTTTGCTTTTTCTCGGTGGTTCTTTTGCTGGGGAAGTGACCTACCCTTAAGAACTTATCTCTTACTTGGCTTGAGAGGCCATTCAACTGGAGATGCCATATACTTTTCTTCGCAAGGAGAATATCAACCTCGTCTCCTCACGCACACATGTATATAAAATTTGTGAGGAAAGAAGCCCAGCCTAGGAGAATTTTTATCATGAGATGCGACCGACCACTATACACCCAACAGAGAAAGAGGGAAGTTCCTTCTTAAGCAAAGCAGTATAAACGGACCCCACAACCATGGTACGCAGAAGAAATAGAAATATAAAGGCGTGGTTTTGGTTTATAATCGTGTTTGATTGAATGCCAAAGCTTTGTTTTTCTCATTTTTATTTTGCCTTTTGTTAGCATGCCAGCCCAGAGGGACACAACAGTGTGGTCCAGAATCTTTTGCAAGAACACTTGTGGCAGGCGGAATGGAAGAGGAGAGAATGTTGACAGCTTTGGTTATATATAACAAAAGATCAAGTTTTTATTAAAAAGCTTGATTTTGGCAATATTTGTAAATAATATAATTTATAAATTAAAAAGGATTCACCTCTGGACCTTTGGTGGCTGGATTCCACATGGAATGACTTTTGTTCAATGGAGAGGTTTTGTTTTTTTACTATCAGGTTCTACCACTCGTGGAGTGGACTGGTATGACTTTCACCGACACTCTACTTTGCTCTTTATATAAAAAAAGTTTTTGCACTGTGGTCAAAAAGTCAATGTGTGGGATTTCAACCAAAGGTCAAGCCAATGTAGGGTCGATTTTCCAATATCAAACCCACAGCCACCATAATATTCTTTCGCGTACAAACTAACCAAATTAGCGGGTCTCTAGATAAATAATATCTCAAATCTGAGATATTTCATCTCTCCATCAACTACACATTTAGATGCAAACTCTTGGTGTTGGCATCTGTGTCGACACCACAGCTCTAAACCATAGTATGAACAGGGTTCTTAAATTTTTTTATAGTTGTATGTACGTAGGAGATTGTCAACCTGCTCACGATAGCCTTGGGTGGCTTAAACAACGTATGTTGACACTAAACTAGTGTCATTATCACTGCATCACGGTCAAAATACAAGCATTTGATTGATATTCCTCTTAAATTCTATTAAAGCAACCAGAGAGTGACAAAATTAAAAAGAACAAAAAGCCAGATGCTGGCTTGTTTATGCATTTTTGCAGCGCATACAGTTGGAACAATGACAATCATACCGACAGGCCATGGTTTTAGTCGGTGCAATACTTTTGTAGTAGCAAGGCAACCCAGGAAGTTGCATGGAAGAAAGAACGAGTGGACACTCACTTTGAATGAAAACAACATCATTGCTGCCATGTCTTTAGGGTTTCTCAAGGTGGTGGTGGTGGTGCTGCCCAGGGAGGTCCCCTCCTCTCTCATCTATCTCGTCTTCCATGCTATTGACAAGCCAACTAAAGACACTTTGCAAAACCATGCAACTCTGCAAATGGAAAGATCCGTGGATTTTCCCTTCCTGGCAATTGGAGATGAATGTGGCAGCACACTTGTGGTCCTATGTTCCAGCACCACAACTTTGCTTTGCTTGGCATTGACAAGAGAAAGTTGATATTGAATGCATGCAGCTTCTTCATCTTTTTGATGCATATACAAACGAGGAGGTTCGCACTGGACCACCAGTTTTCTTCTTCTTCTTCTTCTTCTTCTGCTTCTCTCTCAATCAACGACCGGAACTATCCCAGCAGCCACTTAAATTCTATACCTGTCAATCAGAGACAAGACCCAAAACTTTCCGGAGAGACAGACAGAGGCATGTCTACAATTTATATGATCCATCGCAGCTCTGCACAGGTTGTCAAGATGGAGGGGCCTGTGTTCCTTCGCTCCGATTTCGCAACTTGCAAGCGACCAAGAAATTCCAAACTTGATAATAAACCTCTAAGCACGCAAGATTCAACCTCTCCAAATTCCCACGTAAAACAATCCAATTCCTCCCTTTACAAGGTGGACAATCCAGTACTTGAAAGCCAAGTGACGCTCGCTAGGACGAGGTATACAAACTGCCCAGCAACACGAGACAAGGAGTACAGCAAATTACTAAAAGCCTCCCTTTGAATTGAAGCAGATTTACGTGCTAAAGTATTTTGGGTGGTGGCAGCTGTCGAATCTACATTACATTTTGTATTGGATACGACCCAGAAGTAGATAAATGAAAATACAACAGGGGATATATATATATATATGTATATGTGCCCAGAAGAGGCATCTGGGTAAATACAATCTTAATTGCCCGCGAGAAAAGCGAGAGAAAAAAAGTATACAAAAGCAGTCGTAGTAGATATGGGAGTCCTATCATACCATTTACGAGCACCGCCATATTCTGAACCAGTACTTACTTCAACCTCTGAATTCGACGGCCTGCCTTGCTGCATTATGAGACAAACGAGTACTCAGTTCTCGACTAGGTAGAAACTTTTGTCATCTTTTAATATATATATTTTCTACATTTTAAAATATATATTTTTCTTTCCTGTAATGTTCCTCTTTGCGTTTTTTGTAGCTAGCAGCCAATTCTATTGGCATTTATGCGTCCAAATACCTACAAGGAAGACAGGGCTACGCGCATCGTGCGGAAGAGTGAACGACCGCCACCCTTGGGCAATTCCATTTCGGTAGATTTCGGGAGCCTCGTGTGCATGCATGCTTCACTGACGTGCTGAGTCACGCGCCACGTCAAACGCCCACGTAGCAAGATGGCTTTCTCCACACATTCTGTTCTATGTTCTTTTGGCCGTATATTCCCGATCCATAATAATTCTTGATACTTGTCGCCTGCGTAACAAAGGCAATGGAAGGAATATATGAATCCATATAAATATGATCTATTCAGCGACACTGCTTTTGTATCTTGGGAAGAGGAGAATATATAATAATTGCGTTGCACACCATGGAGCAATTTGGTTTTCCTTTTTCTTGTTGTATCAAAGACCCGTGAGACCGGAGAGACGAACACTTGCAAAAGAGACACGCCACAAGACGCAACTTGTGTGGTCGCTTTGGAATGTAACAACGTAAAAAGCTGGCCTTGGCAACTTGTGCCGCCATATAATGTTTGGAGGAGAAACGTTTGATATCGGGATATCATATTAGCCATGCATCCAATCTTTTCTTTATTTGAAACACTTGTGTGTTATAAACTACGAGCGAGCTCATGCTCAAGGACTGATTTTGCATTTCGCTATCACAACTTTTGAATGGACCACCAGGTGCAAAAGGAGAAGTTTAACTCCATGTCTCTTTTCTACGACTTTTTTCTCTCTTCTTGTTTGTCACCATGCAGCAGCCCAGACTTTGACCGCGCATGAAATGAAAAAGCTCTCGCGACTTGTAAACGAATTTCACTATCTTGGATTTTGATGCGCTTGAAATTGCGCGGGCTGGTTTGAGGGTACTTTTCATCGCAATGTCTGGGCCAAGTGTCATCGTCGCTAAACCGTGGACCATAAGAAATCTTTTGGTTGACAGCAAGTAGAGTTTTCGCATCCAGACGATCCAGCCAGCTGCTTGTCTCGATCAAAACGTGATGCTTACTTGTGTGTTGCTGCAAACTTGGCCATGGCTGGCACAGCCCAGCCCAATCAAGACTTGTAGTATTCCAATCTCGAGTAAAAGAATGAGATCCTGTTTTGTCGTGTAAAGTATAAGAAACTGAGGGGCCCTCGTGAGTCAAGCTTGGAAGCTTGGGTAAAAGTCAATCACTTCGACCCAGCAATCATAGATATATTATACGTGTATGTATGTTTATGTATACATGGGCATATGTTTGCAAGGATCTTGTCTTGATTTTAAGCCTTTGCAATGTTGCCATGTGCCAGTGTCATTTTCCTAGCAGGAACCTTAACCTCTCCAGATTTGCAAGCCTTGAAAGTTCTTGAATGCCCTTCTGACTCATAGGAAGTGTAACCTTGTCACATGGAAGAAACAGATCGAGTGATATATATTCCCACCAATGCATATCAGTCACACACACACAAGAGAGAGAGAGAGAGAGAGAGAGAGAGAGAGCTAGCTTACATTATTTTGTGCCAAATCTTCTGCCAGTTTCAAATACTTTAGTGAGAACGGCCGTACATATTCCTATTTTGCACGTTGGTACTGTCATGCAAGGAAGAAATGTACCCTTGTCTTCTCTAGCTGCTGCTGGTTGTTGAAAATGGAAACTGTTAATTTGTCTTCCGCAGCAAAAGAAAGGGAATTTTCTGAAGAAAAAAACTCAAAATCTCCCAACAATAAAAAAGAAAACGAAAAAAGAAAATGTCAACAAATCCATCAATCAAAAAGCTGTTACCATCTTCGCACACTGCACAGAGCTTCTATATATACGGCCACTGGAGCTGCTGAAAGCGCTCCCGAACGTACGGTTTTAGCTTTAAGGAGGAGGCAAGTAATTTCAATGCAAATGTGCCAATGCACAAAGAGGGTCCTAAATCACAGTCTGCCTCCACCCCTGCAAAATGCCAATTAAGGGCATTTTGCCCCATTTGTTGTTGCAAAGACAAGCTTTTGACTGGTTAAAAAAGAAAAGGAAGAAAAGTACTATAAAAGACAAGCCTGCAATACAAAGACAATTATTCTTCCACTAGCCCTTGTTGCTTTCATCCCCTTGAATACAGAATTGGATACCCAGCAGAAGTGAAGTGCAGGTAACTCCATGCTGCTGCTGTTAGTGTCAGCCTCAAGTGCCTAATTGTGGCATTCTTGCAGGTAAGAAAAACAAATGCATGCATTGTCACAATTATCAATATAAATATACCATGACTTGAATGCTCATATCCAAAAGTGCTAGGAACTCTGCCCCATGAATCAGCCCAGGTGGAAACCCTCTTGTACCATTCTTGTCACTAGCTAGCCATAACTGCATTATGTTTTACATGTAGAGGTGAATATAAGAGAGACTCCCTTTCAGTGCTGCAACTTTTGTGTGTGTTGTTAATAAGCATTAGAAAAGAAAAAAAAACACACAAAGACCGTGCAATATAACCTCGCTGCATCAGAAACTTGCATACCTATATCATATCTCACCTCTTTGTTTCCATTCAATCCAGCAGCAACAAAGGAATCTCCCTGTACTCTTTAATGCTCTTGCTTCTCTCTGAGCAAGGAAAGAACAAGAGGGCAGAGCAAACACCTACGTAGTCTAGACTGCAGGGCTAACACCAATTCCAAGCTCCTGCTGAATGATAAGTTTCCATGGAAATTTTAGCTCCATTTTCCTTCTTTTCTATATACAAAAGAACTAACTATTTACTGTCCTGAATTATCAAATCTCTCATGTCAATCCAACAGTGTCTGGAGAGATGAATCGATGGAATGGGCATTTATCATCATTAACTCAATCATTAACTGCCTCCAGGTTCTTCACACCTCCCAAGAAGTTCTCAAGCTTTTTAATATACTAAATTTTCTATGTCTTTCTTTTTCATTTTTTATATGCCAATACTAATGCCACCATTCATAAGACCTGGACCAACTGAGAGCTACTGCTGCCCCCTGGGGAAGAAGATACCTGTATCCACACAAAACTATGGATGCTGACTCCTGGCCCTGCTTGAGTCCGTCCCATAGCATCAAAGCATATATCCATGAATCTTTCTAAACATTCCACCTCCTCTTATTCTGTACCCCCAACCCCAAGGGCGCCAAAACTTCTATGAAAAATTGTTATTTCTTTTTATTTCCAAAATCAACAAGAATGATTGATTGCACGGATTGCAAAAGATATATTTCGCACAACTTCATTTCTTTGAAAATGAAACACAAACAAAATAGCAGTGATCTTTTTGCTAAGCAACAGAAAGAGACAAGCTTCACCACATGGTAAGCCATTTGTATGCTCTTTGGGATCCTCGAGGAAAATTCATAATAATAATGCACGTTTTTGGGGTCTGTTCTGGTGTTTCCACATAGAAAAATTGCAAAAAAACTTGGACAAGAACCAGAAGAATAAGAAGAAAACCAATTTAAAGCCGACGAAGGAGGCACAGCTTTATGCTTGAATGGAAGTACCAACCAAATGGTTTCATACATTGTTCCAACTTCTGCAAAAAGAAATGGTGGTTCATAGTGCAGGATTTTCAAGTCAGCCTTAAATCTTTTCTTTGACAGCAGATCCCAAAATCTCAGTGAGTATTTTCCAAGGCTTCTGAATGCCTGTTGGGCAACTTGATTCTTACATCAGCTTTGGCAGCACGCGATGTCTACTCTTTCCTTTCTCATAATAATATTATTGTGTTATTTATCATTGGATCATCTTGCTGGAATGAACATCTCGCTTTGACTGAAAAATGTATGTTCAACATACACATACACCACACCAAAGAGAAAAAACATGATCCAAAACATTCTTTACGTGCAGCACGTCACAAGCGAGTTCCTTTCCTTCATGCCCAAAGCGGAAGAATCAACCTTAACAAGAGCAGAAGAGCTTTGTATAAAATACCACGAGAAAAAAAAAAAGGTAGATCCAAAGATATGGATCTTGCAAGATTGACTTCTGCAATTCCCATCAGTGTCACCGACGATGGCGAACGAGCGATGGCTGGATGGATGAGCTCGCAGGAGGAGGTTCCCGCCACCCTCGACGACTACGCGAGCTATACACCGACTTCTTCGTGCTCCTCGAGCTGTGCATGGGGATGGAGTTCCACCACGATGATCTCTCAGGCTCTTTGAAGCTCCTCTGCGAGTCCCTGTTTATCGCCATGATCTCCAGATTTCGCGAGACTCGTACGAGCTGTGGAAGAAGATGCCGCGAATAATCACTGGACCCAGCTGCTCAAGTACGTACGAGCGCTTCGCTACGTTCTCTAGGACTGGCACCATGTCTCTGGAAGATATCACAGCTTATAAGATTCAAACAAAGAGAAGAAAAATCACACCACGGTTGCCAAGAGAGAAATCGAGATACCAATAACAGCTGCCGGGAGTGTCAAACGTGGCTTGCAAAAAATTCCAGCACTCCGAGGATCGAAGACTTATGATGATGGAAATCATAACACTGGCACTCTAGATATATCTTCCTCCCACCACCACCACCACACCACCACCGTAACCATGCTCTAGCAAAAGGCCTCCTCATTTTTTTTGGTTCCCGATTTTCTGTGCTCGATCGATCTGTGCTTATTGTTGAGAAACCGTGTAGCAAGCGTAGAAGAAAACCCAAAGCCACTACCTAGTGCTCGTCCACCACGTTTACCAGCTCGTACTCCACCAGGGAGAGATTGTTGTCCTCCTTGACCACAAAGTCCGCCGGATCCGTCACCTCTATCCTCCCCCACTTGTCCACCGCCAAGCGCATCGATCCCTTGAACATGTCGATCTTCGCGTTGCGGATGATAATCGTCGTGCCTTCTTTCACTTGATCCACTGGAGAAGAACACAAGCAAAAAAGTTCTCAGTAAGATCACAGCCAAAATCCATCCAAACCACAAAAGATCTCAGTCAAGCAAAGAATCCGAAAGAGAGGAGATCCAAAAGGGTCTTACCTTGCTCGTTTCTTGCGGCGAAAACGATCACTCCGGTCTCGTCCCCGACGATACACTCGGCGATTCGCATTTGGCGGACCTGGCTACCATCGGGGCGAGGCTTCTGGAGGACGAGCTTGGAGCTCAAGACCTTGACGACGAGGGTATGGCCGTTGGTGCCGGGCCGCAGCTGATCTACCTTGCCAAACACCGGCTTGCGCAGCGGCTCCGCCATCGCCTCTCGCGCCTCCGATCCAAGGATCAAGATCACAAAACCAAAAAGGAGAGACGATCGAACCTCTCACGACACCGCCCTTCTCGCTCGAAAGAGGAAAAAAAAAAACAACCACGAAAACCTAGCGCCCGGGAATATTCCTTCCAAAAAACGTCCTTGTGAGGGATATTCTGCTGGCGTAACGCCCCCGGCGGGATATTCCGCCATGCTGGACGCCGTGTATGACCGCAACCGGTTGATCCGGGCGCTGGGAATCGGCGGCCGCGTCGACCATGCGCGCCACGTGTTCGATGGGATCGCGCGCAAGGACGCGTACTCGTGGGTGAATATGCTCTGCGCATATGCCCAGAATGGGTATCTGGAGGAGTCCAAGAGGCTCTTTGATTCCATGCCGGAGCACAATGTGGTGACGTGGACGGCAATGGTGTCGGCGTACGGCAGGCACGGAAATGTGGTCCAAGCCAAAGACGTGTTTGATTCCATGCCGGAGAGGAATCTTCTCTCGTGGACGGCCATGGTGGTGGCATATGCCCAGAGCGGGCATATTCCCGCAGCACAACTCGTGTTTGATTCCATGCCCGAGCGGAATTTGGTATCTTGGTCTGCCATGTTGGATGCATATTCGCAGGCAGGAGACTGCGTTCGGGCAAAGATCCTCTTTGATAGAATGAAGGAGAGGAATCTCTATGGATGGACTTCCCTTGTGTCGGCATATGCCAAGGCCGGACGTACGGAAGAGGCACTACGAATATTCCTGAAGATGCCGGAGTGGAGCCCTGTCTCATGCAATGCTATGATCGCTGCCTTCTCCGTGAACGGCCAGTTAAGCCAAGCAAAGGATCTCTTTGATAGAATGGCAGAATGGGACGTTTCATCGCTAAACGTTATGCTTTCGGCATATGCCCAAAGTAGTCATCTGGAAGATGCTCTGGTATTTTACGAGAAAATGCCATTGCGCAACAATGTTGCAGACACCGCAATGTTGGGAGTCTACGGAAAAGTAGGAAAGATTGAGGAGGCCGAAAGGATATTTTACGCAATGGAGCGTCACGATGTAATCGCGTGGACGGCCATGATAACAGCATATGCCGAGAACGAGCATCTTGTTATGGCGAAGAAAGTATTTGATTCCATGAAAGAGAGAAACTTGATTTCTTGGAATGCTATCCTCGCTGCGTTTGTTCACTCCAAAGACATTGATCAAGCCAAATATTTGTTTGATCAAATGCAAGAATGGGACATAGTATCGTATACTCTGATGCTCCACGCATATGCCCAACTTGGGCATCTTGACTTCGCCCAGGAGATCTTCCACTCGATGCCTCACCGCGACATCGTCTCCACCTCGGCCATGATCCACGCTCTCTCTCGCAATGGCGAGCTCCAAAAAGCTCGCTCCATGTTTGATTCAATGCCTGACAAGAGCTACGTCGCATGGAGCTCGATCCTCTCCGCCTACGCTCAAAACGGCCACACCCGCGAAGCCAAGCTCCTCTTCGACCGGATGTTCCACAGGGACGCGCTGGCCGCGAACTCAATCCTCGCGGCACTCGCCCAAAACGCCGATCCCGAGCTCGCGATCCAGTTCTTCCAGATCGCCATCGCCTGCGACGAGATCCTGCCGAGCCCGGTATCCTTTTGCTCCATCCTCGTCGCGCTTAGCCATGCCGGCGACGTCGATCGCGGGGTTGCGTGCTTCGCGTCCATGGTCGTGGATTTTGGCTTGGCAGCGATCAAGCAGCACTACAGCGCCATGATCGATCTGCTGGGACGAGCGGGATACTTGGTCGAGGCGGAGGAGCTCATCACCTCCATGCCATTCGTCGGCGATGCTAGCGATTGGAAATCCTTGCTGGGAGCTTGCTCCAGCTTCACGGATCCTCGCCGGGGGGCTGTGGCGACGAGGCGCGCAGTTGGATTGGAACCCACAAGCGCGGCACCTTACGTTGTTCTTGCCAATATAACCAGCACACGAAGAGCTTAGCAAAGTTCTCCAGCTAGAGCTCGCCATCCCATAGCTCTTGTGGAGATTTGTATGGACTGGTTGTGGAGTTACACAGCATTTCCCACTTCGCCAGCCTCTCCTGCGGAGCGATGCTTTCGATCTTTGCCAGATCTTGCTCGCTCAGAGAGAAGTCGAAGCTCTGGAGGTTTTGCGCGAGTCGATCGGGGTTGTAGCTCTTGACGATGGCACCGAGTCCGCGCGTGGTGATCCAGCGAAGAATTATCTGGAAAACAAGATGAAAACACTTTTCCAGGAACTTTTCCTTTGCTACACACCTGAGCTGGAGTTTTCTGGTACTTGGATGCGAGCTCTTGAACGACTGGATTGTCTAAAACGCTGCGAGAGCCCCATGGTTTTCCAAGACCACCCAGTGGAGACCATGCCACGACTTGGATCCCCACGCTGCTGCAAAAGTCTCGAAGCTTTCGCTGCTGCCACACTGGATGAAGCTCAACCTTTTGGAAACACACAAGCAAATGTTATGGTGATCTTTGCTATAGAGGAGTGAAAGATGTGGCTACCTGGTTAACTGCTGGGATGACTTTGGCATGCTCCATCAAGTCCTGGAGCTTTTTCACGCTAAAGTTACTCACTCCAATCGCTCGAGCAAGACCCTGCTGCAAGCACTCCTCCATTCCCTGCCAAGTGCCTCTTAAATCTAATGGCAAGAAGTCTTCCTCGGCTGGAAAGGATGCGTAGTTCGTTCTTCTTATCTTAAGTGGAGCATGGATCAGATATAGATCCAAGTAGTCCAGCTTGAGATTGCTTTGGAGAAACACAGGAAAGAAAAAACTAGAATGAGCTGAAAAGAGAGAAAGAGATGAATACCTGAGGCTTGATTTCACAGCTCCAAGAACGTCGTCGTGCATGTCGCTATGGAGCTTGGAAGTGACAAAAAGCTGGGGTCTTGTAACGAGGCCGGCATCCATAGCCTGTGCGAGGCCGGCTCCAATCGCAGCCTCGGTTCCATAGACACTGGCCGTGTCGAAGTGTCGATATCCAAGCTGGAGGAACAAAGTTCTAGCATTCCATTGTAGCAGAGGGGGAAAAAGATACCTTGATCGCGCAAACAACAGCGTCGCTGATCTCCTGGGAGTCACTTCGGGTTCCACTGCCGAACCCAAGAGCCGGCATGGCGATGTGCGAAGGACTCTTGAGCGTCAACGAGGGAACCTCCGCCATAGCCGAAAGTCCACGAAGTGAAAACGACGCGTATCAAAGACTTGGAAAACTTTCCACGATCAAAAGAAAGTTTTGTCTTGATCAGATTCACGAGAAGTAGAGCTTGACAAGCTTCTTCAGGGTGTCAAAGATGCTCGTGAATGGATTGAACTCCACCGCTTTGGTGAGGCCCAGTGGAGGAGGATAGAAAGTGTTGCTCATCATCGCTTCCATCCCGGGAGCTGCCATCATCGCCGACAAATCGCCCATGGACATCTCCTGGCAGTCTTGAGGCGTGTCTTTGATCGCAGCGTCGTCATATCCCAGCTCTCCAAGGAATGCCTTGTACTTGTCGATGAACTCTCGCCCCGGGTTTGGAGTCCGCGAGTAGATCTAGTTGGATCATCGAAAAAATGGAGGAGATCTTCGAAAAGCTTCGAGAAAAGCAACCAACCTGGACGAAGCTCGTGTCTTTCGCTCCCGAGACAAGAGCGTACGAGTCGTAGTCCGTGGAGATCACGTCGTATGGCTCCCTTGGGATGAATGGCAGCGTTGGGAAGCGAAGGTAGCATCTCTCGGAGACGCCACCTTCGATTTGCAGCGCCGCCACCTCGCGCTTGAGGCTGGTGTCCGCGGTACACTGGACTTTACCTCTGATCCCCGTCACGTATCCGTCGGGGGAGCCATGCACGCAAAATGTGTCCACTTGGAGCGCTCGGTTGGCCTCGTCGAACCGATACACTCCCTGTTACAGGATCCCAGACGAAAAGCCCATGAAGAAGAAGAGAGTTTCAAAGCGAGAATGAGAGAACTTGGAACTTACTTGTGTGCAATGGCAATCTTCCTGGCCTTGTCCGGCAAATCCTCGCTTGAGAGACGCGACTTCAAACCATCGACCGGCATACCTGGCGGGATCAAAGTTCTTGGCGGTCATCCCGGCCATCATAAATGGCGGCGGCTTTTCTTCTTCGCTCGAACTGATCGTGGACGTCAAGGATTGATCAACATTGGTCGTCTGCTCCATGGCCTGTTCGAGAACTCCAGATTCTCAAAACTTTTGTGCGTGATCTTTAAAGAAGTGTTTCTTACCTCGCTCGTGTTCGTGCACAGGACTAGAACAGCCGCCGCCACTGCAGCGCGCTGAGCAACCTTTGCCGCGACATGATCCCCTTGGCTGCAAAACCGATCATAAAAAAGAAAACGCCTGGATTTTTATCTGTCACCTGTGACGAGAAGGTGATGGAGATGGAACTTCCGGACGAGCCCAAGCTACCGGATGGATCGCTCTTGACGCTGAGCAAGCCATAGCCGGATAATGGATTTGCCAGATCATCTGACGTGGATACCACGTGACCAAGTACGGAGTGATTATTCTAAGAGAATATACCATGGAAACACTCCTTCAGATTTTAACTTTTCTTATGATAAATGGTATATGCGTCATAGTATATGCTGCTCCTTGTTAGATGGGTGGTGTGGTGATCTCCGTCGCGCTCATCATCTCTTTCTTGCTCCGTGCCACATTCCAGGATTCGCCCAAAAGTTCGCTGCGCTTTGATGGAGCCACAGGCAAGTTTAAGATCGTCGCTTTCGCAGACTTGCACTTTGGAGAGAATGCCTGGGAGAATTGGGGGCCGGAGCAGGACCGAAAATCCGACCGAGTCATGTCCTACATTCTCGATGCTGAAAAGCCAGGTGAGAAACACTGGGGAAAAACTCGCCAAGATCTATCTTTCATTTAGTTTGATTGAGAGCTGGGTTGTTTTGCAGACTTGGTGGTCTTCTTGGGTGATGTTTTGACGGCCAACAATCTTCCTGTGAAGAATGCTACAAAGTACTGGAAGCAGGCAACCGAGGCCACCGCAAAGAGAAGCATTCCATGGGCGGCTGTTTTTGGGAACCACGATGACATGCCATTCGAATGGCCGGCACAGTGGTTTGGACCTTCCGGAGTTCCTGGAGCATCACCAGGTAAAAGCAATCTCTCAAGTAGACTTTAGATCATCATCAAGTTGAACTATCGGAAAAACTTTCTTTTTTCTCTTGTCCAGGACATTATGCCTACTTCCAAGGCACGAGTCGTGCAGAACTCATGGAAGAAGATCTCAAGAGTGCATTTTCCGTTTCCGTGCAAGGCCCGCCATCGCTCTGGCCCAGCGTCTCCAACTTTGCTCTTCCAATTGCGTCACACAGGAAACCGGGATCCACAGCAGCACTTCTCTACTTGATGGACTCGGGTGGCGGTTCTTACCCCCAAGTCATCTCCGCGAAACAAGCATCTTGGTTCCGAGATGTTTCGGCAGCTCTCAACCCCGACAACCAGTTAAGCTTTCATGCTCGATCCAAGTCTTCCAACTTTCCTGGTAGAATAACGCTTTGGAACTTTGTCAAGGACGCAAGAGCTCGTCTTCTGGCACATTCCAAGCAAGGCCTACGAATCCGTGGCTCCAAAGCCAAGCTCGCCCATAGCGGCTCCATGCATCGGATCCCTCAACGAGGAAAACGTCGCGAGCCAGTCGGCCGAGTGGGGAATCATGGGCATTCTCGCGAAGAGACCATCGGCAAAGGTAAGTGATCACTCGCTACAAAACTTCTCGATCGACTCTAACAGTTCTATGAATCTTATCACACAGGCAGTGGTGGTCGGGCATAACCACGGCCTGGATTGGTGCTGCCCAGCGGCAGTGGCGGCCTCTGGCTGTGTTTTGCTCGGCACAGTGGCTATGGAGGCTATGGAAGCTGGACGAGAGGCGCGAGAGTGATAGAACTGTCCGAGAACTCCGGCGAGAAACCGAGAACTTGGATCAGGCTCGAGGATGGCCGAGTGGTGGGAGAGCTTGAGCTGGACAAGTCTGCCACGCGGCATCCACGTCACGATGCTGACTCATAGCCCACATTGTTTTGCCCTAACGGACGGTGGAATGTTCCATCGTGCTTGACGCGTTTTCTTGTTAACTTCCATAGTCAACATTGGCTTTGTTAGTTAAGTGCTCGCCAGATCAGCTCGCGTGACGTGGCGCAATGGGAGGAATGATCATATATATGATTGAAAAGATTCCTTCTGGAAAGATAAAGATAAAAATGCTTTTCCCATTTAGTGAGATTTTTACCTTTACCACCACGAAGTTACGTGGCTCGTCTCCTTGGCCATGAAGCATGTGATATTTTTTCCACACAAAAGGGGATGATATCTACGTAGCCTTTGCGGGAGTGCCTACACATGAAACCTCAGCTTTACCAGCCATTCAAGACAAAGGAATCTCCTGGGATGCGATAGAATATGCCATGGAATCTTTTCGCAAGTGGTGTTTTGTCACGTTGCAAGTACGAGAAGAGCCGCGACTAAAATAACAAACGCCGGAGTTTTTTCTTTGATCGATCCAAAGTTTGCGCCCAGTGTTCTTTTGTTTGGAGTAATCAAATGGAGATTTTGGATATGATCGCCCACTCTGGGGATCTGTAAAATATTCTAGAATCTCCAATTTGTCCATGTGAATGCATTGGTAGCTTAACTAGTTGGGCATGCGGCCAATCAACGGTAGTGGGTATATGTTATGCTTTTGCCACTGGGCCGATGGATGACACCTGTCACCAGTCCTTGCAGTGTAAACGTGAGCTGCGCAAGGACACTGTGCTTTTGGGGGCCTAAGCCCACTTAAAAGGAACCCCTGTTCGTTACCCGCCGGGGCAAAGGAAGGCGGCGACGAGCGCGTCCGTGAGAGGTGCGTTGTGATTCTACCCCAAGATTTCGAGCGATCGATGGATGCCGATCGATCGCCGCTTGGAATCCGTGCAATGGCACTGAAATGCGGTGTTTTGCAGCTCACGACGAGGCGATTTCCCGGAAATTTGGAGCTCCGCTTCGCAAGAGGTAGGGTGTCGAGGCACTGATTCGCTCCTCTCTCGTCCTCGCTTGACGGCGAAGAGCACTAGTCCTCCCTCGCCACTGTAGCTTGGACTTTTTCCCTTGTCTTTCTCTTCCTTTCGTTTTCTCGATTCTATTGATTCGTGAAGCGTGGCTGTGCTTGTGTTGCTCGATCGCCAGATTGGAGAAGAAAGGGCGCTGGCACCGGATGGAGGTTCTACGCTCGCCAGCCACTTGCCCAGTGCAGTGGCTCTCGGAAATGGTCTGGAGTTCTTTCGTTTTCTCTTCCTTGCTCACGGATCTCTTTGTTTTACTGCAGGGCATGGAAGATCCTAACCTTGTGACTCTCTCGGCTCCAGCCTCGGAGCATCTGGCCGCTCTCATGGGATGGCAAAGTGGTGGTGGCAACAACGAGGTTGGAGGAATCGAGTACAAAGTTGGGGAGTCTCTCGCTCGAGCCCAGCTGGGTGTTCGCCAGAGGTCCGATATCACTGTGGACGACTACCTTTGCTACGAGCGACCAGCCAAGATGCCAAAGTCGAATGCTTGGGAACAGCAGCAACAGTACCAAGGCTTCTCACACGGCGGTCCTCTCTATTTGCAAGACTCGAAGAACATGAAGACTGGCGGCCGGTTCCAGTATCAGCACAAGAAGTTTCCAGGTCTGGGATCTTATCTCCCAATGCTACAAGACGAGGGCTACGAGACGGTGGCACCACAGACTCCCACGATCCAGGTCGAGGTCGGCGGCTCGCCAGGCTCAGTGGTTCAGGAGAACTCTTTCCTGGACTACAACCGAGTCATGGACACGCTGTCCTCGGCGGCATCCGTGGAGAAGCTCTCCAGTCCCATGGCGATCAAGCAGGAAGCTCCAAGTGCCGCCAAGATGTCGTCCCCACAGGGAAAGACATCCGGGCACACGCTGGATCACATCATGGCCGAACGGAAGCGGAGAGAGAAGCTCAGTCAACGTTTCATCGCACTCTCCGCCATTGTTCCGGGATTGAAAAAGGTACGCTATCACTTGCTCTGTGTTTTAAAATGGATCGTGCTTTTTTGACGTGATGGAATATGTTTCCTCTAGATGGACAAGGCCTCGGTTCTTGGCGACGCGATCAAGTATGTCAAGCAACTGCAAGAAAGGCTGAAGTCTCTTGAGGAGCACGTCTCCAGGAAAGGCGTCCAGTCCGTTGCCTACTGCAAGAAGTCTGTTCCAATGCACGGCGGCAGTAAGCAGGAGGACAAATACGGGAGCGTGTCGGACGACGACTTTTGTCCTCCGGAGATCGAAGCCCGCTACATGGGGAAGAACGTCCTGGTGAGAGTTCACTGCGAGAAGCGCAAGGGCCTCTTGGTCAAGTGCCTGGGAGAGCTGGAGAAGCTAAACTTGCTGGTGATCAACGCCAGCGCGCTGTCCTTCTCGGACACTGTTCACGACTTCACTTTCACCGCACAGGTACCTTCTCGTTTTGTTTTCCTCGTATCGATCCAAAGCTTTTGGTTATTTTTTTATGCACAGATGGAAGAGGAGTTTCATCTGGCACCTGAGGAACTGGTGCGAGCCCTTCGGGATTTTCTCAAGACGGTCACCTTTTAAGCACCGGTTTGGAGGCGGCTAAGGAATAATCTGGCCACGGTCGGCCTCAAGACACCATGACGCTGGTCAGTTCCTCTCCTTTTGGTTTGTTTTTTAGGGGGCGTGCGAGCTTCTTCTTCTTTTTCTAGCTCTTCAGGCTTGGTGGTTCCATCCAAGTGTACCAGTTTTTGTAGCTAGATGCTGTTGCTCCGGGGATTTTTTTTCTTGCAAATCTTGGTAGCACTGCTGCTGCTAAGTTTGCATTCCACCCTCTGCGAGCAGCCTTCTATGCTATTCTCTGGGCTTTTTCGTGGGCATTCTCGTGAGAGATCGCCTTCACTCTTTTACAAGCCTGAGAGGGACTGAGCTGGTTAGCTAAAAGCAAGCAAGCAAGCACTCTTTGTTTTTTTTCCTCTTTTTATTTCTTACTCTTTCTTTCTAGTTTCTGTAGAGAAGATGTACTCTGTCTAAAAACTGTTTGTTTTGTGTTAACTTAAAAAATTTAACTTGAATAATGTAAGAAAGTTTTGATAGTCTTCTCTGCCTAAACTTTTCTTGAAGTTTGAAACTTTTTATAATGATAAATTCAAAAGTAACATACATAAAAATTAAAAGATAAAAAATAGTTAAAGTTTGTATACAATCTTTTTAAATTAAACATAGTTTATAAGTTACATATAGTATTTTACCTCAAACTTGTTATAAACATTATCCATATTAATAAAATAAAATTTAATAATTTGGTATTGTGAGTGCATGAAATATGGAAAGGGAATATGAAAATGTGCATATCAATTAACCCAAAAACCTAGCTTATATATAGGAGCAAGTGGTCCGGATTGAAATCAATCTGACGGCTACCAAAATCCCACTACGCTAATATTAGTATACAGCATCGTAGCCGTACACTTAGCCCTCACATCATCCCCTCCTCTCGGAATAATGGAAGGCTATTAGGGTTCTTTTGTAGATGGGCCGGGATTTGGAGGAATGTTAGAAGGAGGCATCGGCGGATCTGTAGACAGTATTAACTACTCTTGATCCCTTTGTATGAAGTGTTTCAACCGTTACACATGCACAATCTCCGGAGGATCGGCCTGTTGAACGTCATGCTAAACCTCATAAACTTGCGGTCCAACTTGCCGCAACACCCAATATGGTCCTTTCCACTGCGCAAGGAGCCCCTTAGATAAACCACATACCGTAAGATGGGGAAAACGGACTAATACCAAATCATCCACTTTATACTTTGCAGGTGGACGATGATAGGAGTTGTAGCACCGTTGTTGTCCCATTTGTATGCGGCCTAAGTGTTCGGCAGACTCTGCTCGGACAAGTGGAAGAATGCTCGTCAAATATTGATCCCATGACCTAACTTCAGGAGCTCGTGGCAATCGCAAAGGTAAACTGGTAATATTGGATCATGACCATATAAAAGTTTATATAGTGAAGCACCAACAGAACTCTGCACCCCTGTGACATAGGCATACCGAAGAGACGGCAAATAACCATCCCAATTCGAATTCTGAAAGTTCACATACTTCGCAATCATCCCTTTGAATGTCTGAATGAGCCGTTCCACCAGACCCTTTGATTGTGGATGATAAGCACTCGTAAAAGTGTGGCGTATCCCCAACCGAGACATCAAAACATGAAATATCTTAGCCATAAATGCAGGACCATTATCCAAAAGAATCCGCTCTGGACAAGAATGCTGGAACACCACTCGATTGAGGAGGAAGTATTCAACATCAGTTGCAGAGGCGCTAGCAAGAGCACCAACTTCCACCCAACGAGTCAAGTAGTCAGAAGCAATAATAACATACTCATTGTCAGCAGTCGACCGTGGAAAAGGTCCCATAAGATCAAACACCACCAACTCAAACGGATGGGAAATTGCAATTGATTCCAACCATCCTTCTGCAGCACAAGGGGGAGTATTACGAGCTTGGCACCAAACGCAGCTACACACATACCGGATAACATCACGTCGCATCTCCGGCCAATAGAAAGACCTGCGCAGCTTCTTGGTCACACGACGATGTCCCATATGCCCATCTAGAATAGGAGAATCATGGTAGGCATGGAAAAACCGTGGAATAAAAATAGAAGGCACCACCAGCCATAAAGGATCATCAAGATCTGTCCCCACAAAATAAAGGAGGCCATCTTCAAGATGATATTGAGAATGTAAATGCCGAAAAAGCAAGTTATCAGCAAGTGATGCAGGATTCTCAAATGCATCTCAAAGCCTTCGAATCCACGGCTCAATCTTTTGAGCCTCACGAACTTCATCAAGAGAAGGTAGATCTTGCTCTGCACCTTGTGGACACTGAACATCAAGTACAGCAACCGCCGATGGCACAGAATCCTCGTCTAGAAAATCCACAGATGCTGGAACAATAGGCTTATCAGAAACATGAGAAGAGAGCAGAGAAGGAAGAGGAGCTCAATAAAGGGCATCAGCATCAACCATAGAACTCCCTGGGCGATGAACAACATCAAAATTATATATCTAAAACTTCAAAGCCCACCGAGCAGTACGACCAACCAGGTTCTTCCGCTTCAATAATGAAGTAACGGCAGCATGGTCACCTTCAAGTAACATCCGAGAACCATGTAGATATGCATGAAGTTTCTCGAAACCCCAAACTGCCACTAAACATTCCTTCTCTGTCGTGGAGTAGTTCACTTCTGCTGGTTGTAACGTACAGCTTATATATGCAATGGGATGACGTTGACCAGGCACACTCAGGCTTTCTTGCATCAACACACCTCCGAGACCAATATTAGAAGCATCTACGTGCAAAATAAAAGGTCGAGTGTAGTCCAAAACCGGAAGAGTTGTTAATAGCTCTTTGAGATTCACAAACGCTTGCTCACAATCTGAAGACCAGATGAAAAATGACGTTGATGACTTTAGCAACGCTCGCAATGGTGCAATGCGATTAGAAAGATGATCCACAAAACGACCAAGATACTGCACCTTGCCCAAGAAGCACTACACATCATTCACACACTTCGGAGTAGGGAACTTTAAAATGGCTATAAGTTTGTCAGGATCAACTTGCAAACCTTCACGAGAAATACGGTACCCAAGATAAGTTGTGTCCTTGGATCCAAACACGCACTTCGACCACTTCAGCTTTAAAACAACGTCCTGTAGCCAATCCAACACTTTACACACATCACGAATGTGCTCCTCCCACGTCCCCTCCGAGTGAATCAAGACATCATCAATGAAGTCAGTAGTCACCTCTGGCATATCACAAAGAACCTCGTCCATCATCCGCTGGAAAGTTGCTAGAGCATTGTTCAAACCAAACGGCATAACTAAGAACTCGTACAAACCAAATGGTGTACGAAAAGCAGTCTTAGGAATATCTTCTTCGGCCATCAATACTTGCCAGTACCCAAAAGCAAGATTAAGCTTGGTGAACCAATGACTTCGCCCTAGACGATCTAAGAGATCAGCCGTGTGAGGAAGAGGGTACACATCCGGGATCGTCACTTCATTTAACGGACGATAGTCAATGCAAAAACGAATACTCCCATCAGGCTTCGTCACAAGATGAGGTTCACATGCCCAAGGACTCTGCGACTTTTGAATAACACCCTTCTCCAACATTTCCATGACGTTTGCACGTAAAATTTTGATCTCCTTGGGTGATCGACGACGAACAGGAACCTTGATTGGACGAGCATCCCTGGTTGGAATCAGATGACGTGTGGCAATCTTGGCCCCAGAAGATAGGTCAAATTCAAAGAGATCAAAATACTCCTTCATGAGCCGATCAACAGCTGCAACACAAAGATCTTCGGAGGGATCGGAAAAGGGAAGAGCAAAACAAGATGGAAACATAGGAGGAAATAGTGGGGAAACAAAAGTAATAGAAGCAGAGGTAGAAGTAAAGGGACGAAGAGGTACGGAAGTGAGAGGAATGGATGAAACATAAGGAAGTATGAGACAAGGGGGAGAAACCTCAAAGTCACACTTGGCATGATTGTGCTGCAACCAATTCATACTAAGAATGAGGTCAAAAGCTTGACTTGGCACCACCCGCAACGACTGCAACTCAAGCTCGAGATCGCCCACACGCACAACCAGGTCCGCCTCATCTCGTGCATATGCATGTGTACGGCCATTGCCATAAAGAATGAAAATTGGATCCGCCGCACGACGCAAGTGTAGACAACAATGTGTGGCAACAGGTCGAGCAATAGAAGATAAACTCGAACTTGTATCAACTAACACGGAGAGAAGAATAAAAGACCTCTTTGTAGGCCACAAATTTTTCATTTCCAATTTGCCAGCTTACCTCGTCTATCCGACCAACACTGCCTTGGCTCGTGCTAAGTTCCCTTACCAAGGTTCTCGCTTATTGTACCAGCTCCTACTTGGTCCTACTTGGTTTCAGCTACTCACTGCACAAGCACCGGAGTGTTAGCCATCCATCTACGGATTCCCAAATCTCTCCCAATCCCCCTCCCCGGGTTAGACTAGACTTAAGGTTCGGCTACACTCCCCGCAGGCACAAGCAGCCAAGCACACCAATCCTCCAGGTTCCTAACACCCCTTGGTACAACAAGACTTGATCATGGGACCCTCTAAATCCCAAGCCTTGGGTGCAGCACTTGCTTCGGGACGTCAGGGTGAAACACCGTGGCCTAACGGCCCGGTATGGGTACCTCTACCCCCCCACTTCCATCTCGAAGGAAGGCCCAAGGCTCTAGGAAGGGCGAGGACCAATGAGCCGCATGGTACTCAAGTGGGGCATTACTCCACATGAGCCGGGAGCACCGCAATCGATTTCCCTTTCGGGAGTGGGAGCTGCTCTTGAGCACTTCCTTGGATGGCCCCTCCGGCACCAACCAAGTCCATACTCACTCCCACCCAAGGCCCCTCGGTCCCAATCTCAACCTCAAGTCGGTTTGGAAGCCCCACTAGAGAGTCCCTTCAAAACTGGTTCCTGGACCTCACTATCCCTACTATACTTTTGGAACCCCCTGCAGCCCCCCCCCTGGGAGACACATGCTTTGGGCTTTCACCCCTTGACCCGTATTAGTATTTGGACTTAGTCTCTGGCTCGATCTCGGACTCGATTTCGGATCCGACTTTGGATTCGGTCTCGGACTCGATCTCGGACTCGATCTTGGACACGATCTCGGACCCAACCTCGGACTCGGTCTCGGACTCGGTCTCAAACCCGATTTCAGATCTCGGACTCGGTCTCGAACTCGGTCTCGAACTCGGTCCCCGAGTCGGCCTCGGACTCGATTCCGGACTCTATCTCAAACTCGGTCTCCGAGTTGGTCTTGGACTCGATCTTCGACTTGGTCCCATCCGATGAACTCTTTGTCATTTTGGTCATGCTTTCGGGGTTCCTTTAGCCTACGACACCTCGGCGAGTTGGTTCCTTACAACTCCACCACCCATAGAAGAAGTTCGATGCCTATATCGAACGTCTCTCTTTTGATCCTACGATTTGCTGACCATGTCTCTGGGGGCATCCCCCCACTTAGCGGTATGCCTAAG